ACTTGGTAGCGGGGATTCCAAACAATAGATCCGTATTCTAGTATAGGTCTAACTAAACTGGTAAAAAGAGCTTTTGTAACATAAGGATCTTTGAACTCTTTTGACCATCGCCTTACAAATGCAAAAACGCCTTTGGCTTTATTGACTGTAACATTAATATGATGGTTGAAATTGAGTTTGGAATCCATTGTGATACCAAGATCGACAAAATTGGATACCTGCTCCAGATTATAATTTGATATTGAATAAACAGCTGGTTGAACAGCCCTCCGAGAGAAACACATAACTTTACATTTTTGAAGGTTTAGTGGCATATAGTTTGTATTACACCAACTAACCACGTTGTTCAGATCCGCTTGTAACAAAGACCTTTCTTCGATAGAGGACAATGTTTTAAAAAGTTTCACATCATCGGCATACATTAAAATTTTTGAATGTTTTATTATAGAAGAAATATCATTAATGAATATCAGGAACAGAATCGGACCAAGGTGGCTTCCCTGAGGAACTCCTGAAGAAACTTTAATGATGTTGGAAGAACAATTATTAACAATAACTCTTTGTGTTCTATCAGAGAGGTAAGATGAGATCCATTGAAGGAGACTGGGCTGAAAGCCGATTAGGTCGAGTTTACGGATGAGTAACGAGTGACATACTTTGTCAAAAGCTTTACTGAAATCGGTGTAAATTACGTCGGTATGAGCATTTGCTCTAAAACCGTTTGAGACATGAGTTGTAAACTCCAATAAATTAGTAATAGTAGATTTTCCTTTAGAAAACCCGTGTTGAGATTGTGTAATTGAAGAAAATATAGAATATGTCAGCTGGTTAACAATAATTGCTTCGAATAATTTGGGGATAGCGGAGAGTTTCGCTATGCCTCGATAGTTTTCTATAGACGACCTGCTGCCGTTTTTGTGAAGTGGTATTATGAAAGACTCCTTCCAGGCTGACGGAAAAACGCCATGTTTAAGTGACAAATTGAATAGAGTTGTTAAAGGCTCCCAGATGTTCTCAGCGCAGTTTTTAAGAAAACAGGTCGGAATATGATCAGGTCCAGGCCTAAATGACGCTTTTAAGGTTTTTAAAGAGTGTAAAACTTCATCGGAAGATATTACTGGAATATAAGCAGAGTTGACTGGACAAAGCTCGTGCGGATAGTCTCCACTTATAGGGAAGTCTACAGAATAATTGGACCTAAAGAACCGAGCAAACATGTTGGCAATGAGTTGGCTGTCGCTAGATACAGTGTTGCGATAATGCATAGCGGACGGAAAACCATGTGCCTTACGCTTTGAATTTACGAAACCATAAAATGATTTAGGATTGTTAATTAAATTCCTCTTAATTTTACATAAATATGAATTATAACATTTCTTATTTAATGCAAAGTAGCTATGCCGCAAAACTGAGTACCTTAGGTAATCACTGTGTAAGCCCGTTCTTTTATACAGTTTAAAAGAGTGCGACTTTTTATTTTTAAATTTTTTAAGCTCTTTAGTGAACCATAATTGTATTGGTTCTTCATGAACAATATTACGTATTGGCACATACTTTCGAAACAAATTGAAAACAGTATCATTAAAGTGCTCAACGCTACGCTCCACGTCATCTCTATATATTGGCCAAGATAACTTTGAAAGTTCTTTGTTAATTTTCCTGAAATTTGCTTTCGCAAAAACATATCTAGTACTTGAACTTGACTTATTATTATGTATTTCATTTATGATTTCGTAGTTTAACTCAAGAGCAGGATGGTATGCATCTTCCGGCAAAACTAGGGGATCACACCGATTAATAGAGGCCTTCGGAACATCATCAACGTAAACGAGATCCAAGACCTTGTTACGTGGATGCATGTTCGATGAAGGCGGGGTGGCGCATCGGCATGGTGGCGT